ATTTCTTAGGACAATTTTTCCAAAAATCTTTTTAAGTATAACACATGCTCTTTATATCAGTCTATTAGGCACCAGGAGTAGGCAGATAGAAAACACTTTTTATTTAATTAGTTCTGCTGTTAAACTTCTTTCCAAACATCAGTAGCTTCTCATCACTTTTAAGTCATTTATGATACATCTAAAATAACCTCCACAGGCTGATTTCATTACGCCTTGTTATACTTATGTGTCATTCTATTTTCATTATAAATGAGAGAAAGTCAAATTTAAAAACCTAACATGATTTAATTTAATTTGATTGGGCCTTAATTGGTATATATTTTGGTTATTTACAACTTTAAATGCTCTTGTCCTTTTCTTTGTTTCTGGCTGGCATTCAATTAATTCCCATGGATATACTCTACAAGCCTAAAAAATTATAAAACCAAACATACATTTTCTACTTTGTCACAAATTTGAAGAACTGATTCCAAAATGCATGATGTTCCAACTTGAATGAATATTTCAGGAAAACTGAAATGATCAATTTATCTCTCTTTCATCAGATAAAAAAGGTTGGTTAGCCTTCATTTGAGATTGGCGTTCAACATCTACTAAAATGAATTGTTTTGTCATCCTTCATACTTAAATAGAATGAAAAATACATAAAGTATAATTGTCTAGGACATCTATTGCTTTGAAACTCAAAAGGTCAGAATAATGTTGCAGAAACAGAATAAAGGTGAGCTCTAAACTGATTTGTACTTTTTCTCTAAAGTAGTATTGTCCTTCAAGAATCTCTCTGCCATCGATGGCACCTATTATTGTTTTAGAGAGGCTAAAAGGTTTTTAAATTCCACTATTATTTAAAATTTTCAGGAGATTCACTATCTGATATAAAACAAAGACTGGGTTTTACACCCAACCTAAGTAAAGGTAAATATAACTGATGATATCAAGAAACACAGTAGGTTTGAAAGTGTTACCTGAGTTTAAAGACAGATTTATGACCTTAAGCTATTTTCGAATTATATGATACCCACATTCAACAGATGTATGTTTCTTTTCTTGCACATAATACTGACACATAATATATGACTCGTATTTAGTCTAAAATATGGTTGACTTATTCAATATATGACTCGTATTTAGTCTAAAATATGGTTGACTTCAATTTTGAGCCCTGATGAATTAGACAAGAATATCTTTGCATAAGTCTTTGAGATTGGAATTTTTACTAGGAAAATGACACAATAACTATTGACATAAATGCCATTCATGTATAATAATTTACCTAATAACTGATTTTTTCTTAAGTCAGTTTAAGTAACACAAATTGCTTACTAATCATATAATTTAATTTTGAAATTCTTTGTGCTTTGTGTAATATAGACTTGATGTGTCACTTCTCTTTCACAAATTAAACAGAACAAATTTTAAAAGACTGACTCACTTGAGATTATATGATGCTAAAGTACAGATATAATAATTTCACAATACTCTTTTAGAGAAAAGGTAACTGTACTACAGAGCTTGAAGTCACATTGTTTCTTTCAACATGCTTTAGAAACAGGCCAAATACATAGATAATATAAAGAACTTAATAACTCAGTAAAATTCAAAGAAGATAATATTTAACAGGAAAATTCCAAATGTAATGAATAAGGTAAGCATTTTCAGTTGCACAATTTATGGAATGCACCTATGAAGAAAAATCTCATGTGCTCACTCTTCTTTGAATGGTAAAGTAATTCTTTGTTTAAGAATCAAATGAGTGGTTGGGAACTGAGTATAACAAAGTCTGAAATAAATAGAGAACAATTAAAAAATACCAAAGGCTAAAAGAATATGGAAAATGAGGGAAAGGTATAGGATAATAGTAAGAACAAAGATGGCATAAAATAAAGGATTAGAGGAATAAATTAAATGAAAAATAAAAGAAGAAATATGAAAATAAAATTAAATATAAAGGAACACAAACGACAAATGTATAGAGATAGGATTAGTAGAAAGAGAGTGGAAAGAGATGAGAGATAAGGGAGAAGCTAAAGGAAATTGGTGGATAATGAGGAAGGGAACTGCTAAAATGGTGACAGTGTCCTCAAATCTCCAGCACCAGAAACTGATCAAAAGTTTCCTGGAATCTGCGTATGCAGTGTCACCTGTGGATGCTTGTGTGTCTCAGCTCATAGAAAGGAATCAGAGGAAGTATCTGAGCTCCTTCTCTTCTCTGCCCATGCACCTCCATGGCCAGGTAAGTTTTATTTCAGATGAAATGACAAAATTTAGAGACAGTGAAAAGGATTAGGTCTTTATCTTAGCCAACTCTAAAAATATAGCTTTATCTTACCTCACTGGAACAAAACAATTGGCTCTGTGAGATCTATTAAGGCTTTTTCTTTTTACAGGAACTCATTTCATAAAGAGGAATGTTCATCTGATAAATACCTGTAATTCTTGTAAGAAACACAATTTGAGAATCACTGGGACAGAGGTATATAGGAATGAGAATAGAAGACAGCAGAAAGACATTAAATGGAATGTAATTCTAATGGTGAGGTAACAGGTAATAGAGATGGACTGTGGAAAATAACATACAGTGAGAGAAATTGCGACTGGGTCTGGGGACTGTGTGGCTAAGGAAGTGTTAAATAACTACAGATGAGCTTCTAGGATGCACAAAATGTAAGAAGGGAAGAGAGAGCTTCAGACTTACCTTCTGAGAAGATTTTGTAGGCCGAGTGAGACAGAAATGCTGAGGTCAGCAAGTGTGTAAGTGTGTAAAAGTGAAGGAAGAGTTAAGTTAATCTGAAAGGCACCAAGATCATTCTTTTCTGATTTCAATTTGTTTTTAGTCATTACATGTGTACCAAGCCCAGTGTGAATAGATGTTTTTATGTGCAAATAGGGACGTGTGTTTTGAGTACTTGCTATGTAACATTTGGTTGTTAGTTACATATGTTACTAAACATGTTAGTTATTAATCACATAAAGCAAATGTTCAGATATTTCCCTGCAAACGTAATGTAAAATGCAATGAATTCTTTAAATTCCCTAGAGGACATTTTTAGAAATGTTAAAAGTCTGATTTGTCATTTTTATTTTCCTCCTTTTTGTTTTCCCAAATCCTCTGTATGAAGTTGTCACAAATAATTTCTATCAAATTTCAGTTAGGAATTTACTGTCCTTAAAAACACTTCTCTCTGACATTTAACAGAAAAGTTGAAAAAATGTAGATATAATTAGCACATCATAAAATTTACAAGTATACATTTCAGTTTGTTTGTGTGTATTTACAGAGCTGTAAAAGAATCAACATGACATAATTCTAAAACATTTTCATCAGGCTAACAATTGTCAATCTCCATTTCAGCCTTAGTGCTAGGCAATCACTATTGTATTTTCTGTCTCTCTGTATTTGCTTCTTTCATACAGCATAATATATTTGAAGTTCATTCATGTTGCAGCATGTATGAGGTACTGGGTTTTTTTTTTTCTAGTGAATATGTTCCACTGTATCCATAGCATTTTGAAAAATAAATATTAAGTGTAATTGGAAATCAAGAGTAATATTCACATATGTTATATATATATAATATATATATTACATGAATATATATATATATATTACATGAATTTTTTCATTTAGCAATATTCCACTTTTAAGTCATTCAGTCTAACAGCAAAATATTCATATTCTCAAAATGAGCATTTATTTATAAAGTATTTTCAGTTACACTAAGAATTAGAAAAAATTACAAACAAAATATTTCACAAATAATTTATATAGGCAGAAAGTCTACTTTTTTAAATGTATTCTGTGCTCCTATTCTTAAAATTAATATATTGTGGTTTGGAAAGTAGTATGCAAACTAAGACTTAATTCTAGAATTTTCAAACATGAATTTAAATATTTAGAGGAAATATTTAGAACATCAATGTCTATTTTATTACCTAATTAAAATAAAACCAATCACTGAAACATAATTAATTACTAAACAATTAAACAGAGGAATTCATAGCCTTTATTTTCTCTATCACTTGCTAAGGAGTACACAGAAGCAAATTGATTTCAAATGTGAAACTTAACTGTAGTTATTTTTGTTTTTCATCTCTCAGTATATTAGACTATATGGCCTGTATCACCAGTTCTCCAGTGCTTTAATTTTAATAATCAAAATACTAAAAGTATTTTGTAATATATATTATATTCTGATAAACTTTGTATTATGCAAAAATATTTGTGAAAAAACCATCATTTGGAAGAAATTTTGAGATTTGGGAAAGAAGTAGATTATGGGTATGTGATAAGAAAATACGACTAGGTTAATATTAATTGGAATTTACCAACAGGATACAGAGTAGATGTAATGTGGTAACTCAGCCTGGACTAGAATGTTTCTGAGTTGGCTGAAGAGTACAAATCTTGTTTGAGATCCTGGTGGCCAGCTGGGAGTAAAATGCAGATATGCACAGTAAAATAGCAATGTAATAAGAACTATTAATACAAAAATTTAGAAAACAGAAAGATAACAAAGGAAAACCAGAGATCCTACAGGCCTGAGGAGATAATCAACAAACAAATTTATAAAGAAGTTCTTAGTGAGGTGAATGACTAGTGACCAAAACCAGCAAGTAATCTAACAATTAGAAACAATGGATCAGCACTAAGAACAAGAACCATAGGCAACAATAGCAAGAAAGAAAAGAAAATTTTGGTGATGGCTAAGTTTTCTTTTAATCAGGACTTTTTAAAATTAAATTCCAAGTAAACTGTTCAATTCTCACATAAGCACATGTTTATAACGTAATAAATGTGTGATTTGAACAACAGTGTTTTAGGACTTCAAAGAAGAATAGGTTTTAATCAGGATACAGGATATTAGCAATTTTAAATGGCAAACATTGATTGTTCCCAATATTTACTTCATTTGTAGGGAAGTGTGACACAGAAGAAAAGATATTTATAAAGAATGGCATTTTCTTCTTTTTAATGTTTTATTTCTGCTGCAGACTAAATGATGGAGACAGAGAATACCACAGTGGTGACAGAATTTGTCCTACTTGGGCTGACCCAGTCTCAGGATGTTCAACTCTTGGTCTTTGTGTTAGTCTTAATTTTCTACGTCATAATCCTCCCAGGAAATTTTCTCATCATTTTCACCATAAGATCAGATCCTGGACTCAGTGCCCCACTCTACTTCTTCTTAGGCAATTTGGCCTTCCTAGATTCATCCTATGCCTTCATTGTGGCTCCCAGGATGCTGGTGGACTTCTTTTTAGAGAAGAAGGTAGTTTCCTACAGATGCTGCATCACTCAGCTCTTTTTCTTGCACTTTCTAGGAGCAGGAGAGATGTTCCTCCTTGTTGTGATGGCCTTTGATCGCTACACTGCCATCTGTCGCCCTTTGCACTACTCAACCATCATGAATACTAGAAGCTGCTATGCATTACTCTTGGCCCTGTGGCTTGGGAGCTTTGCACATTCCATTGTACAAGTGGCCCTTATCCTACACTTGCCTTTCTGTGGCCCAAACCAGCTGGACAACTTTTTTTGTGATGTGCCTCAGGTCATCAAGTTGGCCTGCACGGATACCTTTGTGGTGGAGCTCCTGATGGTCTCCAACAGTGGCCTGCTGACAGTTCTGTGCTTCCTGGGACTTTTGTGCTCCTATGCTGTCATACTCTGTCGTGTTCGCGGGCAGTCCTCTGAGGGGAAAAGGAAGGCTGTCTCCACATGCACCACACACATTATCATTGTGTTCCTCATGTTTGGTCCTGCCATTTTTATCTACACTCGACCCTTCCAGGCTTTTCCAGCTGACAAAGTGGTTGCTCTCTTTCACACAGTCATCTTCCCTTTGATGAACCCTGTGATTTATACACTTCGCAATCAAGAAGTGAAATATTCCATGAGGAAATTGTTAAATCAATATGTGGCTTGCTAAATGAAATAAAAGAATGAACAAAATAGAAAAAGTTAGTCCATTTTTAGTTGATTAAATTATTCATGCATTTCATTCATGCATGAATTAGTTATTAATCATCTATTATAATAGACACATCAAGTTTTCTAAAATTATGCTAGTCATATGGATAAGACATAAAATTCTAGGTCTGCTGGATTTAAATTAAATGGATAAAACAGGTTAAACTATTGAATAAGAAAAAAATCAGAAATAGTGTTCTCCACTCAAACACAGTGTATTTGGTGAGGTGGTATGTACCTTGCTTGTAAAGAAAAGTCATATTTTAATAAATGTTTAGCTGCTACAAAAACAATATGAAAAAATTGCATCATCTGTGTATACATGTTGTAAGGAGAAAGAATGACTGGGACCAAAATATTTTTTGACTGTGGTACATTTGAAGATCATAAGGATGAATAGTGTAACTACAGTGTACTCGAGGAGTAGAAAAGCAGCAGAAATCGATGCAGATATTACTGTGTTAAAAATATCACAATATATCGTAGGCAATGGTAAGAAGTTTGACATTTTCAACTTGAAAAGGAGGCCGTTGAAGGCTGTTAAAAGGGAAACGATCTAATGTTTTCTATTAGATTTATAGCAAAGTCCAACCTCAAGCTTCTGCATACAAAATTATGTGTAGTAAAATATCATTATGGACACTTAAAGGTCTAGTTATTTTCCTAGTTTAACCCAGAATCCATCAGTGGTAGCCAAATGGTAAATCAGTCATTGGTTGTTTTGCAAGTAACTGAAACACTCTTTTTTTTTTTTTTTTTTTTTACCTTTTTCTTTTTTCTTTCAACTTGTCATATTGTAAGGCAACATATGTTTGCATATCACTAAAAGGGTTGTAAGACAAGACTGTGAAATTGACACCCAGAAATAAATTCTAAAATATTGTTCTAAAGTATTTTTATTGTGACTTTTCTTCTTGGATGTTTTTATATTATTATTTTATTAGTATGTTTGTAGTGAATAATGTTTAGAACATGTCATGGCCTAATTTTAACCCCACAAGTCAATGGATGAGGCAGAGACAGAGAAAAAGCTGCAAATCAGTTTCAAACCACCAATACTCTTTTTAGATTCAGGCAGAGATTTGCCAGTCTTGGCTTTCTTGGAATTTGGGGCTACATAATTCTATGTGAATTGTAGGTTGCTACAAATCTCCCCAGTGTCTAATAGTGGTGAATTATTTTTGCATTTTTTTGCCTTAATATATATTGTGAAATGTCTGTTTAGAAGATTTCTCATCCCTTGATCTGTTGGTTGTTTTGTTTTGCTTTGTGTTTGTTTCCCACACACTCTTGAAGATGGTTTTCATTGCTGAATAATTTGAAAATATTTTCTTTCATTCTGTAAATCATTGCTTCACTTTGTTCAACTTGCTGTACAGAACAGTTTAGTTTGGCGCAATCTCATTTGCCTAGTTTTACCTTTCCATCACATGCTTTTGGAATTTTATACACAAAAAAATTACTACCAACATCTTATCTTACAAAACTGACACCAAATATTTTTCTAGTAGTGTTTTAATTTTAGGGCTTATATTTGGTTATTTTACTTATTTTGATTTGGTTTTTGTCTATTGTGACAGATAAGAATTTGGTTTTCTTCTCTTATATAAGATACACGGTTTTTCCAGTGTCATTTATTGAGATCATCTGTTTGCTAACATTTTGCTTGGCAACCTTTTGTAACAGCAATTGAATTTATTTCTGGTTTCTTCATTCTGCTCCACTGGTCTATATATGAGTTTTATACTAGTATCATGCTATTTCAGTTGTCATAGCTCGGTAACATATTTTGAAGACAGGTATTGTGAAGTACTAGCTTTTCTTTTTGTTCAAATTTTATATACCTATTCAGGGTCTTTGTGGCTAAATATATGAATATTTTTTCCTATTTCTGTGAATAATTCTGTTGTTATATGAAGACTATAGCACAGCATCTTTAAATAACTTTAATAAAACTTTTTGCAATACTGATTCTTTGAATTCTTGATTTTTTTGTGTTTCCTCTTGAATGTTTTCATTAGATTAATGTATTCATTGTACATATCATTTTAAATAACTTTTTCTTAGATATTTTTGTGCATGAGTATGGCTATCTTGAATGACATTACTATCTCTCAGAAATTTGGTTTTTGTTATAAAATTCAACTAATTTTCTTATTGATTTGTATTTGTAACACTATAGAATTTATCAATTCTAACAAATTTTTTGTGTAATCTATAGGTTTTCTTCAATGCAAAATTATATAATTTACAAACTGTTAACTTTGAATCCTTTCTAACTTGAATGCCTTTTAATTTCTTTCTGTTTTGCTTTGGTTGAGACTAGCAGTATACTGAATAAGAATGATGCAATTAGTTGCCAATATTAGGTAAGAATGTTTCAGTGTTTCCCCAGGTCAGTATGATGTTGGCCATTGGTTTGCCTTTATAGTCTTCCTTTTGGTTACTTTTTACTCATCGCTGAGACAAAATAGTTGATGCCAAAAGTTGGAAAAGGAAAGGTTTATTTCTTATAGTTTTTGGAAGTTTCAGTCCATACTCAGTGATAGAGTTATTTCCAAAAGATGAAAAATATTAACAAAAGATGAGAAATATAAAATAAAAAGCGGCCTTTATTCTGAGAACACGGAGAGAGATGACCGGCACCCCCACCGCTGGCGTCCGGCGATCTCTCCGGCGGACACGCGGCGTGGGGGCCTGTAAATAGCCTCGGTTTGGGGTGGAACCTAAGGCGGGCATTAGGTATACACAGGTAGCCCATTGGTCCTAGGTTTGGCGCCATATGTAAATTCCCAGGGGCGGGAAGATGGCGTCACAGGTAACTTCCTAGGGGCAGGGCAAGATGGGGCTTCCTGCTTCCGGTTGTGGCTTTCCTGGCTACAGTGTCCTGTCTGGGCCAAACCTTTCACTCAGTTGGCTTCAAGGCAGGCTGGCATGACATGGCTACAGTTCATGGTGGCTGCAAACAGCAAGGCAGAAACTGGCAAGAGAGAGATATACCTTCTTCCTGCCATTACATTGTATGCTGGTTCCACCCCTACATGGGTGTAGCACTGACACCATCAATCCAACTGCTAGACAATGAACCAATCACAGATGCATAATGCAAATGCATGAGGTCTGGGGGACACCAACATAAACCATAACATTCCACCTCTGGACCCCAGGACTCATGTACATCTTTTGTACAAAACACATTTATTCCATCTCCAAGAGTTGCCAAAGTCTTAACAGCTTCAGCATTGCTGAAAAGTCCAAGTACCAAGTCTCCTTCAAGATCTATGGCAAACTCTTAACTGTAACCCCCTGTACAAATGAAATGAAATAAGGGTAAACATTTCTGAAATGTAAAGGCACAAGATAAACATTACCATTCCAAAAGTTACAAACAGGGGAATATAAAGCATTGGAAACAAAGCAAGTCCAATATCCAGCAGGGCGAACATTAAGTCCTAGAGTTCCCTGCTCAGCATTTGAAGCAATCTGGTTACAAGCTCCAAAAGGTTTGGGTGATTCCACCCCCAAGGCACTTCCAGGGATTTCAGCTCCTCCAACTTTTCTCTTAAACTCTCCTTGCTCTCCTTTTACAGCTTTCTTTGGTTGATCCACATTCCTTTCTTTTCCAAACTTCTTGGGTCTCCACTGCACATTTGGCTGCACCCTTACATCTTCACAAATCGTCCTCTCAGGAGCATACTGCTTGGCCTCCCAGACCCTTTGCAATCAAGGTGGAAGCCATCTTACCCTCAGAATTTGTGCATTTCCTTGCACCTAAAATCAACACTATGTGGATGCCACCAAGGTTGCTGCCAGCTGGAGCAGTACCCAGACCTTTTCTCTCTTGAATGTAGGGGTTGATTGCCTAGATTGTTGGGCTCTGTAAACCTGATTGTGAAGAAAAGCTTCTCTATGTTGCTGCCATTCTGGAATCTCATGTGGCCTCTATCGCCATTCTGGAGCATAGTGCTCTGCAGGTTTCTCCTCTGAGTAAATTCTTTCACTTTTGCAGTTTTGAGGCTGCAAAGAGTAGAGACCTGCTGCTCCTGGGATGCCCCTGAGCCATCTTTTTTATCTTTCTGTTTCTCCTCAGCAATCAAAGTCTCAACTCTGTCTTTGCAATCCACAGCTTTCCTACAGTTTTTCTTCTGGCCAAGTTCACAACTTTAAATAATCCTGCTAGGCTCTTTGTTTTTGATTTGCAATATAAAGCTGGCTAAATGCTCCCAACAATAGCTATGCTACAGCCTCAACATTCCACTGCCTTCAAATTTCCTTTTCCATATTAATCAGTCCATTGCCCTTAGTCTCAGTCTCAGGCAAAGTCTCTGGGCATGAGCAAAATGCAAACTTTCTGCCAAGCCATAACACACATTGTGGAGAATCTAACAAGCAATGTAGTCCTTCCCAGCAGAATCCTTCTAAGCCTGGTCTTTACCATGAGGCTTTCTATCAGCCTTCTGGTTTCCGGATCTCTGACCAGAATCTCCTCTACAGAACAACCTAAGCTGCTCCAGCTCTATGCATCCAGGTGACATGGCTGAACCTTTCCAAACCTGCCCACAAGTCATTTCCAAAGCCTCTCAAAAAACTTGGTCAGGTATAGTCACAGCAAATGACCCCACTCCTGGGTACCAAATTCTGTCTTAGTTACTTTTTACTGGTCACTGAGAGAAAATACCTGATGCCCAAAGTTGGGAAAGGAAAGGTTTATTTCTTATAGTTTTTGGAGGTTTCAGTCCATACTCAGTTGGCTCCAAGGCAGGCTGGCATGACATGACTACAGTTCATGGTGGCTGCAAACAGCAAGGCAGAAACTGGCAAGAGAGAGATATACCTTCTTCCTGCCATTACATTGTATGCTGGTTCCACCCCTACATGGGTGTAGCACTGATACCATCAAATCCAACTGCTAGAAATGAACAATCACTAATGCATAATGCAAACACATGAGGCCTGGGG